CTTGGACAACCATCCCTTTCACCATTCCTCTCACATACCATATTTAAATTTTCAACAGTTTCTAACTCAACATGAACATGAACAAATTTTTTATAATGATTAGTATGCAAGCTAAACATTTGTAACATATCAGCATCACTCTGCACTACCATTTTCTCATGACTCCCAGGCAAATCACAATGCATGATAATTGAGACTCCTAATTGTGCAGGTAAATTTTCTAAAGACACTTGTAAAACATCATCCATCAAATCAATAAAATAGTACCTATCAGGGTCAACATTATAAATTCCTTTCACAGTGGACTTGTAGTGCACAATAATGTCATACAATTCAGAATCTACCATCTGTTTATACCACATAAGAAAAAACATTAGGATACATATAGGGATGGCAATTTGACCCGCCTTCGCGGTTACCCGCTCCACCCCGCCCCGTTTTTTACGGTTATGGGGGACCGTTTAGCTTCTTTGGGCGGGGATGGTTTGATATAATAAAAACCGCGCGAGTTTGGTGCGGGGACGGGGTGAGGTCGCCCCGCCCCGTTTAGATAGGCAAATTACTTCAGTACCCTTATTTCATTAGTATATATTTTTCCAGTATATATATAAGTATCCTATATAATAATATTAAAGTAACAAATGAATTTGATTAGAAGGAAAGTTGCAATAATGAAGAACTAAAGATGAGGGGGGGAAAAATAGCAAATCTATTTGAACAATAAATATATTAGGGTCTTAAACGGGGCAGGGCGGGTACCCGCGGGGATAAAAATGTTAAACGGTTACGGGGATGGAATGGAAAGTCCACCCGTTTTTGCGGTTTTAGGCTAGGATGGTGGTGGGATTTTTAAAAGGTTGCAGGGGTGGGGGAGGGTACACCCGCCCAAACCCGCCCCCGTTGCCATCCCTAGATACATATAATAAAATCACATGCATATTTCAAAATAACAGCACAATTTTCTCAGTCAACGCATATTAATATGGAAAAATCAAAATACAAAAACATTAGGATAACTAAAAAAAAAAAAAATCCAGTAAGTGGAAATTCATTAGATATTTGATAATCTAAAAAAAAAAGATATAGAAATAATTTAGTGAGAATTCAATATATATATATATAATACAAAAAACATTTAGAAAAAAAAATTCTATATATATAATGAATTTTCACTACATTATTTCAATATGGTAATTTTCACTAAAATTTTAGAAAACTAAACACTGTGAACAAAAACAAAAAAAAAAAAAAAAAAAAGGGTGATATAAGTGTTGATTCAAAAAAAATTAGGATGCATATAAAAATACCTATCCAACAACTATTATAAGTGTTGATATGAAAAAAAATCTCTGATAATAATTACATACCAGATATAAGTGTTAATTATATCTTGTCGAAGAACCTATCCAACAATATCCAGATTCAAAAAAAAAAAAAAAAAAAAAAAAAAAAAAAAAAAAAAAAAAAAAAGAAGAAAAAAAAAATTCATACTGTAAACAACTATACTCGTTACATATTAATATGGCAAAATCAGAATACAAGTTAGGCAATATATATATATATATCAAAAATGAAATACTATGAACAACTATAACAAAAACCCTAAAAATTACTGCGAAAATAGACATGCATAACAAAATAGCAATGAACAAGAACCTATTATATATCTATAAAGCAAAAACCCTAAAACCTCAACAAGAATAGCAAAACCCCCAATTTTATTTAAAAAAATTAGGCTTACCTTCACCAGCGATGCCTGCTAGGGGTACTGTCTGTACTTACGCCTAACTAGGGGAGGTAAGTGAAATTATCCCATGCAATTATTAGTCTAGTTCCTCCAAGTTCTTGGCAAGTGGCATTTCAAGGGGCCGACAATATATACTCTTCAATTACAATACTTTACTTTTTTTTTTTTTTACTTACCAAAAAAAAGTATATACTCTTCAATCAGAAATGTCTATGCTTTTGAGTGAATGAAATAGAAGGAAACAAATCTTCTCTAGTTACTTTCTCGCTGATGTTTAGTGAATATCTAACGGTGGTGATTAACGTCACCTCCCTAACATAACCTTGTCATTATCAAGTCAGCGCTAAATCAGCAAGTCAAGAAAAAAAAAAAAAAAAAAAATGAGTATTAATTGTTGGTGGATTATTAAGAGTGAGCAATAACGCATCAATGGGATGAAAGGAAGGAAGATAGAGGATAGAGCCTTTTAAAGCTTAACTGAGACTTTTAGTTTTTGAATTTATTTAAGTATGAATTTCATTACTTCAAAGGGTAAGTCAATGTGTTTAGGAAACTCTAAAATTCATGGTCCGAAAGTCTTTCAAGGTTTAGACTTGAGCTTTGTGAATTTTTTTGTTTTTTTTTCGATAACCGAGGTATTTGGGGCTTTGACCTGTGTAAGGCGATCCCCCACACGAATCGAGTAAAACTCGGACTATGTCTACGGTCATGACTCCAAGAAATTGCTCACATATATATAAGGAAAATCGAACTTGAGACCTGAAACTTAATGAGGCTCCAGGACCAAGTCTTTTTCACTAAACCAACCCCTTGGGATTCAACTTTGTAAAAATTATATTAAATATTACTTTTATATTAAGTTTAGCTCTCACCATAGCTATGCTACCTATTTTCTTCATCTTTGTTTCCAATTCGCTTTTGCTTCTTTACTTGAAGTTTTATGATTTTTTCCCTTTGTAAATAACCTTTGCCATTATCCTTGAGACTTTGATCAGTTCTAAACAGGGATGGACCTGTGATGGCTCCCATTGATTTTTTTTTTTTTTTTTTTTGTTATTATACCCACTAATTTTGCTTTTTTTTAAAAATAATTTATTTAAAAATTTTGAATTTTCCCCCACTCAAAAAAAAAAAAAAAAAAAAAAAAAAAAACTCTACTATTGTCTTCCTCAATATTTTTGGTTAAAAATCGTCCCCCCTCACGTATATTCTTGAATCTGTCCCAATTCTAACACATAAAGCCTGAAAGATACAACTCAATTGAAATATTAAATTCACATGTTAATGATTTGTTCTTTATCAAAATTACACAAATACTGTTGGTTGTTATAGACTCCATGTCAAGCCAGATCTTGACCTCTTATGGCATACTATTCTTTGTTTTCTTCCAAACCCGCAAGATCTGACCATGGTTTAATTTCATTTATTATTACATTGAAGCACATCAGCTTATTTATTGTTGTTATCCACTTTGGTCAACAAGTTTTGAAGTTTAAAATAGTCAGTGAGAAGTGTGTGTGTGTGTGTGTGTAATGCATGGGTGCATCATTTTGAAGTTTATTGGTGAAAGAAGTAATACAAAGTTGAATTAATTTCACTAGAACCCCCCTCAAGTTTCACTAAATATTATATTAAAACAACTTTTAAAAATTACTATCACTCATACGGCAAATGATTATTCGGTAACTTACACCCCAACCGTCACATGACACCATGTGAAATGACTTTAATACCCTTTGACCTTGTCAAAAGAGCTCTTTAACCTAAATAAATATATTAAAAGACTAAAATATCCTTAAATACTTTGCAAATTTACAATTGTATTATATATAGGGTTAAATGCAAAAAAAAAAACCCTGAACTATAGGGGTTTTGTAACTAACCCCCCGGAACTATAAGAAACCCCCCTGAACTTTCATTTTCTTGCAATTTACCCACTCAGGCGACTGGAAAAGAAAAAAGACCAAGTTACCCTTTAGTAAAACAACATAGTTTGGTGGGAATATCAATTTCACTTGTTAACGTGGCACATAAAATCTAACCCACCAATAGCATTTTGACAACACAACAAAATAAGGATTCTTATCTCTAGCTTACATCACGCACACATCAGCCAAACCTAACCTAACCGAACTTCCTTCATTCACAACAAAAATGAAGAGAGGAGAAAAGGAAGCCATTGTCGGCCTTGACTGCAAATTGGCCTTGTCTGCAAATCGGCCTTCTTTGCAAACCTAATCAACATAAAACCTAACCGAACTTCCTTCATTCACGACAAAAACAAAGAGAGGAGAAAAAGAAGCCATTGTTGGCCTTCTCTGCGAACCTAATCAACATAAAACCCTAAAAAACGTTTGCCTTAAGGTGTGGGAATCGCTTTCAATAACTCTCTTACTCTAATTAACTGATTTTTCTTATATGTGTGTATATTGATTTTGTTATATAATGACGAAGCTCAGTTATGTCTGTTTCTTGCTTTGTTCATGCGTTTTTCTTACTTTGTATAAAGTGTTAGTCAAATTTTTGAAGGAAATGAGTAAAAGTTTGTAGTTGATGTTGTTGTGACATTTTAGAAGAAAAGTTTTGCTTTTGTTCATGCCTTTTTAGAACTCTGATGTTGTAGTTGATTTGTATTTTATTTGAAAGGTCTGAGGTACAATGTCTTTGCAGTATTTTTTTTCATGTTCATGTCGACTAGTCCCTATCTAAAAACCTTGTCTGTTGTTATTGTTTATTTCTATTGTATACAATGTCTTTATTTCATGACTTTATGTGAAATGGTGGTCCCTCTATGTTTGTCAAATGACTTGATATACTTTGTAGTGGTCCTTTTTGTGTATTTAATTTTGACACAGCATTATTGATTGCATTGTCTATATTTTAGTGGTCCCTTTTGTGTTACTAAATATGTAAGGTGTTATTTAATTGTACCCCATTTGCATACTGACATATATAGTGATCATGTGCTTAAATTATTGAATTAGATATGTTATTTAATGATTGCATTGTCTCTATTATTTGTACACTTATTAAATGACGTGTCTATGTTGTTTTTATTAAGGTTGAATCTGTCATTGTCCATATTGAGGTTTTGTGTACCCACTTGTTGTTGTAGATGGATGATATGTTTACCATTGAACTTCATCATGGGGTTATATTTGAGAAATCACCCCCTATGACATACTTAAGAGGAAATATAACTAAATTTGAAAAAATAGACCCTGACATAATGCCATATCTTGAGGTTCAAAAGATGGCAACTGGATTGGGGTATGGGGTGATTAGTGAAGTGTCCTACAAAGTACCTTATAAGTGGCAACAATTTAAAGAAGTAAAGTGTGATTTAGATGTGTTTAGGATGTTTTATGACCACGAAGCTCATGGAAAAATGTCTGTTGTGAAATTATACATTGTTGCACCTTTATTGAATGGGGCAGAGAATGAGGTCAACTCATATGTTGATTTAGGGTGGGATTATCTAATGAGTGATACCCAACTCATTGCTCCTGTGTCAAGTGAGTATGGTCCTAATGATGAGTTGATAAGTCTATGTGAATCTTGATGAGCACTGAAAAGTGCGCATTTAAACCCGTTAAGCTTAAGCATTCTAGTACCTTTATCTATCTTACTTTGCCGTTTTAGACTTATTACGTGTTATTTATATTTTCAGGCACTAATCCCAAAATTGAGCTAACTCAGCCAAATAAGAGCTTAATTGAAGCAATCCTGAGATAAACCAAAGGAGGGAGCAAAGTGGAGAAAGCAAGGAGCAAAAAGGAATCAAAGTTGTGCAGCTGAAAAGTTCGATCAATCCAACTTAGAGTTCGATCGATCGAACATCTATGATCGATCACAGTACTTCTCGATAGATCCAACCTTGGCCTTTGCTGAAATTCCAAGTTCGATCGATCCAACATCACCTTCGATCGATCGAACCCTATTTTGTCCTATTCAAATGATTGATCTTATCCACAGCTGTACGCCTACCAACCACTTTTGTCCTTTTCCCCATAAATATCTTCGAAATATCTCAGCCTTATCCTTATCCGGAGGAGTCAGACCACTTCGATCGATCCAAGATGCAGTTCGATCGATCGAACCCATCTTCGATCGATCCAAGTTAAGGTTCGATCGATCGAACTTCCTCCAGCGAGAAAAAGTTAAAGTCCAGCTCATTTATTCCGTCCTTCACCCAATCATTGGAGTATATGTCTTGCACGACCACAGCTCATTATAGGGTGTATTTGACCTACCTATATAAGGAATATGATACACTTTTTGGAGAGGGAGTCTAGAGTCTCTTGTCACACATTGAAAATCATCTTGGAGGTTATTCTTGGAGAGGAGGAAGGAGGGAAGCTAGAGCACCATTGGAGGAGATCTTCACCAACAAGGAGCAGCCATGAAGTTAGCCCTTAAGGGTTGGATCATCACTACCATAAGTGTCTAGACATCCTCTTGGGGCTAGAGTTAGCCCCAAGCATGCTTTCTATACTCTAATCTTGTGTATTATTGAGGGATTAGTGTTGTATGATACATCTTGATATTCATGTATATATAAATCTTGATTATTTCATGGTTTGTATGGTTTAATACTTCCAATTGACTATTCTATTCTACCCATATGTCTATGTATGCTAGAGTAGGATATTCGTGTGCTTATCTCTAGATTTAGTGTTTTTGATGCATGTCTATGTGTATTGATGCTATAGATCTAGAGATTATCAAGATGATATGCTTAATGAATGCTATTTTGGTTTATTTGATGGTTTATGCCTATTCTTGATGGCTTGTGCCTCTCCCCTAGTCTAGATAGCTTTATTTTCATGCTAGTAGTGTAGATTTAGTGTAGTGGTAGTATAATGTTAGATGGGAGGACAATCTACTCTTGATGTTTGATGTTCCATGCTTGTGAGTCCAAATGGCATATTCCTCTAATATTGTGTTGTATGTGGATTGTGAGCTTAATGAAGGATTAATGACTAGTTATGATATGTTGTATCTTTCACATGTGTTTAGACAATTTATTCCTCTCCCAATAGATAAATTGTGGCCTCTCACATGATGATTAGATAATGCATGTTTAACTAAGTAATCCTTATGGATTGCTTGGACTATAAGCTTAATGAAAGGTTCAATGACTTGATTTGATATTTTGTTCTCTTCACATGATGTCTAGACAATATATTCCTCTACCAATAGATGTATTGTGGCCTCACACATGTTGATTAAGACAATTTGCACTTGTTGAGTCACCCTTACCAATTGAATGTCTTTTACACACACAACATTGTTGCAACACATTCATTTCCCTCATTAGTCACTTGATTATGGTTTGGAATAATATTGTTTGGTGGTGATCTCTACACCCCAAGACCTTTCCTTCTTACTTACTCTTTATCTTATTGCATTTTAATTAATTCTTTTCTAGAAGTAATCAACCAACCCAATTCTCTTTTGCAATCATTTGGTACGCTAGAGTCGAAATTGAAATTCCAACACGTATAATCCCTTGGGACGATCCCTACTCACTCTTGCTACGTTAGTAGTGGTTTTTATAAATTTAAATTTGACATAAAAGGCTTTTCTCGAACCACACATTCACTACATTTAGTTTGGCGTTTACAAGCGACCTCGTCAAATCTGATGATGAATGTGTTGATAGTGGTTATATGCACCAGGATTACATTGTTTCAAGGGATTTTGGAGAAAAAGAACCGGAATTAGGCATAAAATTTGGGTCAGCTGCTGATTTTAGGTTGGCACTTAGGGAAAATGCATTGAAAAACAAGTTTGATATAATGTTCACAAGGAATGATGGAGATAGGGTAACTGCAGTGTGCAAGGTTGAAAGTGGTTGGAGGATACATGCAAGCAAACTTGAAAATGAAGATTATATAATTATTAAGACCTATATGCCAGCACATACTAATTGTTTATGGTTTCATACAAATGGATAGGCCTCATCAACCTTCTTAGCAAACAAATATTGTGAACAACTAAGATTGAACCCTAAGATACCTGTGGGAACACTTAAGAGCACCATTGCATCTGAAATGAACATTAATGTGTCCACATATAAAGTTTATAGGGCTAAAAGAAAGGCATTAGAAATGATTGAGGGGAATGATGCTGAGCAGTATGGTAAAATAAGGGATTACTATAGCTTGATATTGAGAACCACCTTGGCAGTGTAGTTAAAATACAAATTGAGCCCACTGCTGATGAAAATGTTAGAAGGTTTCAAAAAGTATTTATTTGTTATGTTGCAATGATAGCTGGTTTTAAACAAAATGTAGGCCATTAATTATTTTAGATGGATATTTCCTAAAGGGTCCTTATGGTGGTCATCTACTGAGTGCAGTGTCCATGGATGGGAATGGTCAAATGTTTCCAGTTGCAATTGCAGTGGTAGAATCTGAGATAAGAGATTCTAAGAAATGGTTTATGCGAGAGTTGATGGATGCTGTAGGGCCATACAATGATATAACCTTCATGTCTAATAGGCAAAAGGTAAAATGTATTTTACTGTGTTCTGACACACTTCCTTCCACACACACTCACTTGTACACACTTACCTGCACACACTCACACACTTATACACACACCCACCCGCACACACTCACACACTTACACACACACTCACACACTCACCTGCACATACTTATACACATTCACACACTTATACACACATTCACATGCACACACTCACACACTATCACACACTTACATACTATCACACACTCACACACTTGTACACACACTTATACACTCACACACTCACTTGTACACACTTACCTGCACACACTCACACACTTATACACACACTCACCTGCACACACTCACACACTTATACACATTCACTGTGATACCCCTCGAATCTGAGACATGGGTTGATCAGGCCCAAGCCCAAACCCGAGGGAATACCAAAAAATCAATATATAAACGAACACAGAATACAAATCGAAATAATAACAAATAAATAAATAAAGGCTGAAAAGAATTCTAATTATAAAATCCTCAAAAGTTATAATTAATAAAATCCAAACTCTCCATTAATTAATAACTCGGGAATCCATCCTGTGGATCCCTAATAATATCCCAAACTGAAACTGAAACAACTGAAATAAAATCTAAAGCCAAACATGGAAAGTAGTCCTACGTAGTCGGAGGAATGAGTGTCTGTATCTGCTCTGCACGACCAAGCTCTAACCCTAGAACTGACGAGCACCTGAAAAATAAGAGAGTGGGTCAGGCCCACATGCAAGTCCTATTCTACTACGATCTATACAGAAACCCGATATGCAAATACATCCTAGATAGCTCAACAATAACTAGAGTAGTCCATATATGTATAAGTAGACACTATATGTAGGACGCTCACTACTCCAATAGGTCTGTCTCAGCCTGAGTAGAGATACCATGCAAATCGCACATAATGTGGTCATGTGTACTTAGACCTACCAGAGAACAACAACTATTGTCCAGTTATCCATCTTAGGCGATATACGCACCCTGACCATAGTCTTGAGACTCAAGCTCATACCATGGAACCATAACATAAATATATAAAGTCCATACACTCCTAATACAAAATATCATCCATCTGGTATAATGGCCTGATATATGTATAACAATCCATCCAGAAACCAAAATAGGTCATTCAATTATTTTATTGACATGAGACCAATATGAGTAGGACTTAACCTTTATAGTTAATTCATATCTTAATCCAGAATAGGTAGGACTTAATATTTGAACTAATCCATCTCGAGTATGCCACCGTCCCATACCGGTGCATACAATCCTCCAAATAACATAGTTAATAAAACAACACTATATATTCAACAACCATTCTCCAAAATATGCATCAATATAAATTAATACATATATATCAATATTAAGCATTCATTATAGAGCCTAAAAATCATATTCCAATAATGTAAACTGCTAAAATAAATTTAAGCATTTACGTCCTCCAAATTGTCCATAAATTGTTGCAGTTAAAAAACAAATAAGTATCAATTTATTCCAAAACAAGCATAGTTAATTTAAAGTGATTCACTATACTTCTACCTCTATTTAAATATGATTAACAGTAATGAAATCATATATACCATAACCTCCAAGTTCCAGTATGTAAGTTGATTAACAATCAAAGTGCAACATGTAGGATTTTTCCCTAAGTTCACTCTGTCCAGTCCTTAATCTATTTATGAATTATTGTTCCCCTATATTTTTACAAGTCTATGTGAATCATATACCTCAGTTAAGATAGTTTAAATGAATTAACAACACCCTGCACAGTCCAAACAACGCCTTAAAACCAACAGTATACAATTCTGGGCGAGAGCAGGCTCTCACAAGTTGAGAGCATGCTCCTTTAGCATGGGAACTGGCTCCCTAACTTACGGAGCCTACTCTATGTAGCTAGGAGTTAACTCCACACCCCTTGGAGCCAGCTCCATGGATGAGGGAGCTGGCTCCCTCCTTTTGGGAGCCCTCTCTCTCACTCTCTAAAGCCTTTATGTGATTTCTGCTTCGTCTTCCTCGCCTCCGGCGATACCCAAGCCTCTGTAATTCTTTTAAACACTTGTTCTAATGTTTAATCAATGTCCTAGAACAATTATAAAGCATCGACATGCATCAACGACATCAATTAAACTAAGTTTAAACTCAAACAGAGCATGCATCAGTTAACAAAACTGTAAAAACTTACAACCTAGTTTAATTCAACAAAATTAAATATAGTTAAAACATACATAAACGACTTGTTTTAACATTAATTAAACCCCTAGAGTCTACCTAGGCATGCACAGACACAGGTTTAGGGGAAAGAGTTAGAACAAAACTTGCCTCTGATTTCAGTTTAGAAATCTTAAACCTCCGTCTCTAAGTTTTCCAACCACTTCCTAGACTGTTGTTCCACTCCTCCGTTGCTCTTGGTTCAACCCAGAAACACTCCGTCCCGTCCTCCTTGAACCTCTCTGTTTATCTCTCAAATTCCCTCTCTACCTCCCAATACTCTCTGTTCATGGTTTATGTCGTAAACCCTAGACAGATATCGTATGATAGCATATAGATAGACTAATATAAATCCTATTTCACTTATAACTAGAGACGGCCAACCCTAATTAACCCCATTCGACCACACGTGAATCCTAAAAGAAAATAAAAACCTAAATTAAACATTAACCAAACCCTAATGTAAACCAATTCAAGTATTTAAATTACTTCAATTAAGGAAAAAAGTAATATAATTACAATTAATTTAATTAAAGAAAAACCAAAATACAACTAAACAAAAAAATTCATTGCTTAATTCAAATAATAACAGTTTAATCAATTAATTCAAGTAATTCAAATAATAACAAGTAATTCAAATAATTCACATAAGTCAAATAATAACAATTAATTCAAACAAACAAGCAATTAAACAATTAAACCAATAAAAATTAAATTAAATAAGTAATTAAAATACCAAGACTATCTTTTTAAAATTAGGGATATTACATTCTTCCCCCCTTAAAAAGGAATTCCGTCCTCGGAATTCGCTCTTACCTTTTTCCAATATTTCAAGAAATTACGAGCGAATGACATCCTCCCGTTCCCAAGTAGACTCAGTCTCATTGTGATGACTCCACTGAACATGCACCAAAAGAATAACCTTAGTACAAAGGATTTGATCCCATCGGTTGACAATCCGACACGGTAGCTCCAAATATGTTGCTTTCGGCTGCAACTCAATCTCCCCAACATCGATATGCTGATACCGATCCTCATCTCGCAGAAATTTCCGCAACATGGAAACATGAAACACATTGTGTACACGATCCAAATTATCCGGAAGTGTCAACCGATAAGCGACAACTCCAACTCGATCCGTAATCATGAATGGATCGACAAACCACGGTGACAATTTCCCTTTCTTCCCAAAGCGCATCACTCCTTTCATAGGAGACACTTTGAGTAGAACTTGATCCCCAACCTGAAACTCCAATGCACGAGTACGACGATCTGCGTAACTCTTCTGCCTACTCTGGGCAGTGCGCATGCGATCCCTAATCTGCGTATCCTTAATGAACTCAGGACCCAAAAATCTGCTCTCTCCAACCTCCACCCAACAAACAGGCGATCGACATGGTCGACCGTATAATGCCTCAAATGGTGCCATACCAATAGTCTTCTGGAAACTATTATTATATGCAAACTCCACCAGTGGCAAATAATCCTCCCAGTGCCCTTGAAGTCAAGAACACACGACCGAAGCATATCCTCCATGATCTGATTTACCCTCTCAGTCTGTCCATCAGTCTGAGGATGATAAGCAATGCTAAGATGCAACTCTGTACCCAAAGCCTGCTGGAAACTTTTCCAAAATCCTGACACAAAACTTGAATCCCTGTTCGAGATAATAAACAACGGCATACCATGCAACTTCACAATCTCTGTAATGTAAAGTCTCGCCAACTGCTCCGATGTGAAATCTGTGCGAATAGGCAAAAAATGAGCTGATTTAGTCAACCTATCCACGATTACCCAAATGGAATTGTGATCTTTATAGGAAGTAGGTAATCCCTCCACGAAATCTATAAAAATGCTCTCCCATTTTCACTCCGGTATAAGTAGTGGCTGTAGAGCTCCTGGCGGCCGCTAATGATCAATTTTAACCATCTGACTAATACTACATCGAGAGACAAAAATAGTAATGTCTTTCTTCATACCTGCCCACCAAAACTGCCACTTCATATCCTGATACATCTTGTCGCCTCCTGGATGAACAGAAAACTCAGAGTGGTGAGTCTCAGTCATCACATTCTTCCTCAAATCATCAGCAGAAGATACCACCAACCGTCCCTTGTACCTCAAACCTCCATCAGCCCCAACATAATAAAATGGAACCTCCCCGGAAGCTATCTCTACAACTCTGTCAATGCACTGCTGATCCGTGAGTTATGCTTTTAAAACTTTGTGAATAATAGAAGGTGTAACTACCATGCAAGCCATAAAAGCATCCGACAATTCATCCACCGTCCTCAAAGCATTCCACTTAGTAGTGAATAGAGCAGAAAAACTAGCAACGGGTATGCGACTGAGTGCATCTACCACCACATTCGCTTTCCCCGGATGGTACTGTATAGAGAAATGATAGTCTTTCACAAACTCTAACCATTGGCGTTGTCTCATATTCAGCTCCCGCTGAGTGAACAAATACTGCAGACTCTTGTGATCATTAAATAATCTGAAGGATTCTCCCAGCAGATAATGCCTCCAAATGCGTAAGGTAAAGACCACAGCTGCCAATTCCAAAACATGTGTTGGATAATTAAGCTCATGAGGCTTAAGTTTTCGAGACCCATAAGAAATCGGTCGCTCCTCTTGCATCAAAACACATCCAAGACCTTGCAAAGAAGTATTTGTGTAGATAAGATACTCAATCCCGCTCTGTGGAATAGACAGAATAGGTGCAGAAGTCAACTTACGTTTTAGCTCATTCAAAAGCCTTCTGACAATGTTCATCCCAAATGAACCGTACACCCTTTTTAGTCAAATGAGTGAGTGGTCTCGCTATCTTGGAAAACCCCTGGATGAACCTACGATAATATCCCCCTAATCCGAGGAAACTCCAACTGTCGGTAGGTGAAGTAGGTTGTCCCCACTCTATCACTACTAAAACCTTGGCTGGATCTACCGCTATTCCCCTTTCTAACACCACGTGACCCAAAAACTTCACCTCCCGCTATCAAAATTCACATTTCGCGAACTTGGCGTATAACTAATGCTCACAAAGCGTCTGCAAGACTATGCAAAGATGTCTAACATGATCATCCTCTAACTTTGAATAAATCAAAATGTTATCTATGAAGATAATGACAAATTGATCTAAATAAGCCTTGAAGACTCTGTTCATTAAGTTCATGAAAACCACTGGTGCGTTAGTCAGTCGGAAAGGCATGACACAAAACTCATAAGAACCATATCTAGTGAGAAACGCTGTCCTCGGAATGTTTTGCTCCCTAACCCGAAGTTGATGATATCCAGAACGCAGATCAATCTTAGAGAAGTATATAGCTCCCTTCAATCGATCGCAAAGATCATCAATCCTGGGCAAAGGATACTTATTCGGAATAGTAACCTTGTTCAACTCCCTGTAATCTATACACAAGCGAAGCGAACTATCTTTCTTCTTCACAAATAGAATTGGTGCTCCCCAGGGTGAAATACTCCTGCGAATAAAACCCTGGCTGAGTAATTGCTGAATCCGATCCCTCAGCTCTCGTATCTCCACTGGTGCCATCTTATATGGTGCCCTAGCAATAGACGTAGTGCCCGGAGCTAAGTCAATCCCAAAGTCTATCTCTCGACTAGGTGGCAACCTTAGAATCTCCTGAAAAACATCCAGAAAGTCCTGTGGTATGCTATCCAAAGATACAGTAATCCCTTCCTCCGTTTCCTCCTCCATATGAAATAAAGAAGTGCCAGTAACCCTATTAGAACGTGGCATAGTGACAACTTACCTATCCTATCCGGGTATGGTGAACACATTAATCCTATCAAAAATTTAACTTGAGCATGGTAGTGAAATAACCAATCCATCCCAAGTAACACAGCATAAGTGTGCATGTCCAGGACCAATAGATTGGCTAGAAATATGAGTCTACCAATATCTAGTGTCACAAGCCCATCATTCTCATGCAAAATGGCAACATTGCCCAAAGGTGTAGAAACACCATGAGATCCATCA